TTCCTCCTTTGAGTCCGATGGTTATTTTTCTATCCGTTTTTGCTCGCCTGTGGTGCTGGGTGCGGAAGTGGCGGCGCGCAGGAGCTGGGACCCTGGCTGTGCCGATTGCCATGAGCAGCGCAGGCCGAGCCCCCGAGCGGTTTCGGCTTGGCTGTACGTGGCTGTAGAGACGCTGTCAAAAAAGCTAAAAAAGCAGGACTTGTCTTCTACGAGCTGATCACGCTCTTCGTGGTTGCAGTGAACTTCACGACGGTGAACTGGCTGGCCACGGTTTCCGACCATCTGCCAAAAGGGACGCCACGCAACTACGAAGGCATCTCTCGTAAGTACCTTGGAGCTGGTGCGTCCCACGTAATCTCTCTTGTTTTCATATTCGGCAGTCTTGCCCTGGGCATGTCGTACATGCTATTCACGGCACAGTCTCTGGCACCCATCTTGGCCGGCTGGATGTCACCATCTCATGAGCTTCCCAGTGAATCAGAGGTGAGTCACCTGTCTCGGATACTTCTTTGGGTCTTGGGTCTTGGGGTGGTGCTACCTCTAAGCCTGTTGCGAGACATTTCAAAGCTGAAGTTCACCTCGACTCTAGCGATCTTTGCCTTGGCCTATGCTGCTGGATTCATCGTATTCTCCAACCTGGAAGCACTCGCAGCGCAGCCCAGAGCAGGCGAAGGCTTCCAGCTTGTCAATGTGCACTCTGACTTCTTTCTCAGCTTGGCCATGACAACTTCCAACTTTTCCTGCCACATTTCGGCCATCCCCATCTATGAGTCCCTAGCTTCGAGAAATGCTTCTACAATGAAGAGGGTGGTGGCTTTGGCATTAGGGACCTCCGCGCTCTTCTACCAAGTGGTTGGGCTTACCAGCTACTGCCGCTTCGGCCGATTGGAAGCTGGCCAGGGCAACATTCTGGAAGTGGTGGCCGAGAGGATTAGCCTCCTGGAAACGCCTTTGAGATTCGCACTGGAGCCTCAGATGAGTGAGTAGACCGTGTCATGTTGAGATTTCAGTTCTCGGAAGCTCTGAGAGGGCTGGTGCAGTTTTTGGGGCGGGTAGGGGCAGGTATCTCTTGCCAGCGCCGGCGTCGCGTTCTGCCTGGCTTTTTCCATGCCGGTGGTAATGTGGGCTCTTCGTTCTGTCATCCTGAGCTACTACCAAGCGGCCTGTGCTGCACAGGCTCGCAGCGCAGGGCTCCCGGCAGAGGCTGGCTAATCTGGCACGGTACCGGTATCAACAGGCTGTCGCGTCACTTCTGCATGTTTCCTGCACTGGTGACCCCCACTCTGATGCTACGTTGTTGTTTGAGGCTGTCTTAGCTGCTCTTTTTTGGCTTGTTCGCAGTGTGCTAGCTCTGAGTGCGCGTGGATCTCCTGTTGCATCACACAATATGTTTTCTTCCGTCGCTCCAAACAACATGTTCAATGTATTTCTACTGACCCTCAGACAAATGTGAAGCTTTTGTTGTCGTGTGATTACAGCGCCTCTTCATTGCTGCCACAGTTCGCTCTGTGGAGTGTGCGGGTCGTGTCGGACGTGACCATGTGGATGCTTAAAGTGATGTAGGCAGAAGATCCCATACATTGGCATCCCTGCTGTTGACTCCCAATGTTTAATATTTAAGACAGTATTCAAGCTACGGATGGAGAAGTGCATGAAGTGCAATAGATACAAAACCATAGATGCAACCTCCGAGGCAGTAGAGCCTCGTTGCCATGATTTGCTCAAAGCTCTGAGTGTGCATTGCGCAGCGTAGTGTTCCGTGAATCGGTTTCTGCTTCTGTCTGCCTGCGCAGGAAGTCTCTGAGATTGAAGATGGCGAACCCACAATGCTGGAATGGTGCATCGCTACATCTTTTCTCATGGTGGTGATTCTCACTCTTGCGACGTTGGTCCCGGACGTCCAAGTGATCATGTCATTAGGCGGATCACTTGGAGGTACTTTCATTGCATTTATGTACCCGGCTTTGTTCCACCTGACAGTTGTTAAGAAAGTGCGATCGGCACGCCAGATGCTGCGGCTGGAGCACGGTGCAGAGCTCGGAGTCATCGGCATGAGCATTCTCTACGGCATTCTCTGTCTGTCGATTTCGCTGAAAAAAGTGTATGACGAGTTTCTGGAGTCTTCTGAGCTCGGACCCCCTGTGACAGTCACTTCTATTACAGCCACCGTGACGTCGACGACGACAATGGCAACAGCACTTATGTCTGCTTTTGAGATGTAGCTTGCCGAAGCGCTGTTCATCCGTGGCCGGCAGAAAAAGAATGTCATTCAGTGGAGTGCGAACCTGCGCGCATTCCGTCTTGTGCTTCCAGTTAGACTGACGAGTGCCAAGGAAGTGAGGGAAGCTTACCGAAAGAAGAAGTTCGAAGAGGAGCAGAAGGTCCAATCGACAGCCTGTGCGACACGTTTTGTTTCGAGTGGGTGCAGGTTCTTCTTAAAAAGTGCCAGTCTATGTGGAGGCAACTGAACGACGGCTGATTCAGAAGGAGAGAGAGGCGAGTTCCACGAAATGCTTTCGTGAAGTCTGGATGAGGGGATCGCCCAGTCCAGGATTTCAATAGAATTCTTGGATCCTTGGCAAAACGTGCATTGACCATTTCTCGGCAAGGCTGAAATCCAGGCGTCCGCGGAGAAGAAGAAGCAGGACACCTTGCAAAATCGGTACAAGCTTAAGAGATGCAGAGTCATGCTGCATCTCTTCTACCCAGCTGTTTGAAGCAGGATGCTGAAACCTCAATGCCCAAGTCTCGAAATGAGTGGCCGTCGCCGTCTTGGTCTCGTTGTTGCACGCTCGCGAACGGTGTCAGTGGTTTCACTCGTGCCGTTGCCTTTGTTGCGGACGTGTGTCTAGCTCATCGTCAGAACAGAAGGCACTCGTTGCCCAACCGTTCCGGTCTGAAAGATTTGCGGGTTTGTACAGTAGCGACTAGCAGGACCTGGAACGCCTCCAACGCTTGCGTGACCAGAACATCCTCCGCAAGGCAGGTTTTTGCCTTTTTATATAATTGCTGCGAAAACTTGCGTGACTCCTCTCGTGGACCGCACGGAGGAGAAGGAACGCATCGCCCGTCTGGCGGCGATGGCCGCTTAACGCACTGCCGGAGGCTTGCCTCAGGTGCGCTTCACGGCAATACCTGAAAGCGCGATGCTACCGTCAGGTTGTGTGGGCTGTGCACAGAGATGGCATGGTCCAACGATCTCCCTTCCAGCAGGGTTTCCATGCGGCTGCATGCTCAAGACATCCACCTTCGACTCAGATTCTTGAACAGTTATCGTCCCTGGCGATGTGCAAGCAAGCAGCACGTTGTTTCACCCAGCCCGATTTGTCTCACCTGCTTCACAAGACTGTGGAGTTGGGGAATCCCTGATGGCAGGTGTCACTAGAACCCAACACACGAAGTGTAGGCACCTTCTGGAGTGCTAGGATGGATCCAAGCTCTGCCAAAGGAGAGTCCCGAATTCAGCGCCGAAAGACGCGGCTTTCCAAGATATTTTCAACAGACACATCAGCGAGCACATGGCACATGCCGGGAAGGAGTCTGATGTGGAGGTCTACGAAGCAGAGAGGATTAGTAGTTTGCAAGCGATGGCTCCAGCTCTAAGCGATTTAGATTTCTTTCATCCCACAGAGGTAGGCGGTGTTTGACTTTATGCTTTCTGCTTTCTAGAGCTACGGACGGGCCGCAACTGGGTGAACCCGTGAATCCAACAGCACAGAGTACAAAGCCAAGGCAGGATCATTGGATAGGCGCATCATGTGATGCAATGGCGGAGAAAGCAAATGGCGGCAACGCCGACGAGGAGGCCTGGTTGGTTGGGACATGATCATCTTGCGGATTTGCAGACATCAAGAAGACGTGAATGTCTGTCTGATCCAGGAAGCGGTTATTGAATCCGATATCAACCTGCAGCAGCAGTGTGGACCTAAATGTGCACTTCCTGCCGAGAAACGAGCTGCTGCTCTGCTCTGTCCGGGTGCCTAGGCTCTTCGCCCTGTTGGCTCCTCATCGGAAGGTGGAGCCGCGGGACGAAGAAGGCACCAACAACCATCGATGCAAGACGGACAGCTGTTGGAGGGTCGACAGCCAGTCCCTTCTTGACATGTGCTTGGTGCATTGCTGCAGACCTGAAGGCAACAGTGGTGCGTTGCCGGAAGCCCAGGTAAAGCTTCCCGGGAATGTTTCAGCCGCCGCGAAGACCAAAGTGGCTCTAGGGAATGACCTGAATTTCGAGAGAGCTTGCTCGTAGGGTGAAGCACACCATGGCAACCCTTCCAGTGAAACAAAGCGCAGCATATGCGTCGTCGTGCTCGTCTCCACACCTGTATACTCAGATTTGCCACAGGCTGGAGCTGGTGGCTGAGACCCCGGCGAGCGAGCGGGATGCCAAGGCACCCGTGGGGTTTGGGCCCCTAACTCCAGGAACTCAGCATCCCTGTGAAGGCCGTTCGGGAGGAGGTGCCAAGAGGCCTACCAGCGCTTTGTCCACAAAGAGTGGACTCCTGTCTTGGAGTGAACTCTCGAATCTGAGCAGGTCGAGGGGCAGAGGCCGGCATCTTTCGGGTTTGGGGCTCTGATCCAAGCTGCGCATCCGTGCGCACGATTGCTTCACTTGTAGCGCAGTTGCCTCTGCCCGCGCTTTGGGCCTTTGACGCCAACAATGCAAGCCCTCCGTTGACCCTTCGCACGGTAAACTCCGCTGCTCCGCGGATAGCAGCCTGTTGCTGCAGCTGGAAGCTTCTCCCAGCACCTCGCAGTGCCCGTGTCAGGCTTCTCTAACACCGAGCTGTGTCGTGGAGCTGGCTCTTCCGGCTGGATTTGTATGTCGGATGGGACAGCAGGGCTTGGATGAGCTTGGCAGCTACTTCAGCTGTTGAAGTTGTTCTAGGAAACAACATGGGTCGGCTACCTGCTAGGGTGTTCCCTCCGAACCTTAGTGAACTGTCGTTTGTAAGTGCCACCTCCCATTGGATTATCATTCGGAAGCACGCTTGTTTCGAATCCTTGTGAATTCTCAATGGAAGGTGCTCCCGCCCCCTCCGAACCTCACCGAGCCATCGTTCGGATGTCCTGCCCTGACCTGGAGTGTGCCAGAATGCTCCGCGACAAGAAGCGGTGCCGGAGAACGATGCAGGCGTGCACAGCGAGACCTCCACGATGCCTTGGCGTGCTGCTGCGAGCTTCTTTGCAGATGGCGACACCGAGCCCGAGTCGAAGAGTTTGTCGGAAGCTTCTGAAGCGATGTCCTCGGGGGCTTTCCGTGCGTCCTGGCGGTGTGGGTGTCTTCGGTGTGAGTCGAGGATGGCCTGGCCCAGTTCGAAGACGAAGACACGGAGGAGGGGGGCGGGGGGGTGAGGGTCTTTACTGCAATCCGTGCATTTCCAGGAGGAGGACGCCTGCATGGAGGAGGCTCGCTTGGTGTGTCGCAAAGTGACAATCAATGTTTGCGCTGGAGCATGGCACTTGCCTCGAAGGTCATGGCGCGGCCCGTGGAGGTGGAGGAGCTGCCGAGAAAGGCCAAGCCATGGCCACGCCCCGCTGCTTCTGCTTCGAGTGCGAGCCTTGTCTCCATCCGCAGGCGCCCACGGCACCCGTGATCCCAGAGTTGCCGCCCAGGCGCGCCGCGCCCTCCACAGCCCGAGCGGGGGGGGGGGGCAGCTTTCCGTGTGGCTCTGCGGAAACGTCAGGCTGAAGCTCCTGAAGCAGCTGATAGAGGCTTGCAAAGCGTTTGCAGTCTCTTGCCTCTTCCGACTGCGCTGCCTGCGTGGCCTTGCAGGCGCCTGGGGGTGCTTGTGAGGCGCCTGGGCCCTGGACCTTCGCCGACCTTGCCAAAGACGGCTCCGCCGCTTCACTTCGCTGAGGGCCCAGATGACCTATCAGGATTTCTTGCGACGGCGGCTGCCTCGGAGCCAAGCCCAAGCCATGACTCGGAATGTCTTGTGAGGCACCACCTGTAAGCAGGCGAGTCGGTAGTCTTGCGACGCTGGTTTTCTTTTGTATCTGGCCTCCAGGCTTTGTCAGCGCGCTGCTGAGAATGGCCGAAGCGATGCCGCCCGCAGCAAAGTGCCAAGACCTCATGACGTCGTTCAGCATCGTGAAGCTGCAAATTCGAAAGATTTCGACCGTAAAGCAGAAAGCCTACTTTTGAGCACGTGCAGACTTGATATCCGAATCGGACCTCCTTCACGACCTTTCTGGCACTCATCCTGAGAGCTGAAGTAAATGCAGTTCTCTGTGCCTTGAAGGATGAGCAACCCTGCCGATCATCCGGCAAAAGTGCCTCGCCCGCCCTCCCGTCGTCCTCCAACCATGACAACAGTAGCACCAGAGCCACGAGCATCCTGGAATCCACCACTTCACGACACGTTGAAGCCTTGGTGAGGTCTTTCAGTATGAAGACCACTCCGGTGATGCGATTCGCCACTTTTGCGCGGCATCGTCGCCTACACGGTCCGGTAGTGGAGGAGAGGAGATTTTTGCATCCGGAGCCAACTCTGCACTCTGAGCGAGCAGGGGTCAATCGTGGTCGTGACTGCCTTAGCGCCCTCATGAAGAGTCTTCTCACACAGCAGCTGGGACTTGTGAGATGGGAGCGACGTCGGGAAGGGACGCTGAGGATGACGACGACGATGCAGGCCGTGACCAAGACGAAAAGGCACAGCGCCGCAGCCTTTCCCTCTGCTTCTTGTGTTTTTCCACTAGCTGTCGCTGATATGCGCAGTGCTGCATGCTGGCATATGCTGGCGCAGGTGCCCATGGCGCCGCTCCCGAAGGTTGCCGAGCCCGGGCGCCCCGAGGCTCCGACGGAGGCAAGTGCTGCATGGCGTGCAATGCAGCGAATTCGGTAAGGGGGTTATCTGTGTCTTTTTTTTTTTTGCGTTATCTGTGTCT